AAAGTTTGCTCTTACTTTTAACTCTTCTCAACTAATTTGTGAACCCACAAATGCATTTGAAAGGCCAGGATCGATGTTTTCACATGCATCTTGTTCCAATTTTCACGTAAATCCAGCCAGAAAAAACAAAACTCAACATTATATTTAATATCTGACAAATTACGTTCTTATATTTTGTAATATAAAAATGAAACATTTTACAAAATGTCTACACGTTTTAAATGTTTCTCCAAAACCAGACTTAACACAATTTACCTAATTTTTGTAATAAAATAACGAACTTCCTTGCTTCCGATACTTCATAACAATATGACAACGTTGCTCGATATAAATTTGATATTTTCAGGTGGCGTCATCTATATAAGATTGCCTGAACCTAAAATTACAGGGATTACACCTGTTTTATGTAATGTTGGTTGCGTTTTTTAGGTTAAAATTAAAAAAATTTGTGCATATAAGACTGGAAAATGAAAGCAAAAAATGAAATATTTCTTATGCGGAGCCTCTAATGGGAATATATTCTAGTTCCTGAAATAGTTTTTATAGCGATTTATGATGACTTTTTTACATGTAAAATTTTCACAAATTCGTTATTTTCTTCATTCTCTCAATTTTTTTCCACTTTAAAATATATTCAGGAACTAGTTCAATACTATTAGAATATTATAAAAAAAAATCCGCATAAATTCATTGTCTAGAAAGCCCGTCTTATATGTTGAAAAATTCTCCTATGCTAATACATTTGCTAACGCCGCCAACATGCTTCTTATAATACCTAGTTTTAAATTTACTCTATTCATTAGTAGGAATATGCCCATAATCTCCTATTTATTTTGATTGATGATTCTTAATGTATGCTCAAGTGCATGTTATAGTACTGTGGAACGATATTACAAATATTTTTGAATTCCTTAGTTTTGTAGTTTTTATATAAAATGAAATACTTTCAAGATCTGAGCAATCCCATGTAATAATTACATACAAAATTACAGTATTTAATATGAAAGTTTTGTTTAAATCACGTGATTCCAGATTTATTTGCTACAAAATGTATGACGGCCTTAGATTGTTGTATTAATTTCATATAAAATTGTATTTTAAATATATTCTGTTTTTATTTAATTTAAAATAAAGTTTCAAAAAAGACTATGATGTTTTTTATTTTTAGAAATCAATTAAAATCACAAAAAAAGAAAATTAAAATTCTATTACGAGTTTTTAAGGTTATTAGTTCTACTGTGTAAGTAAATCCTTAATATTTTCGATTTATGTTTAAATGTGTTAGTCCTATCCTGTACACTTCAATATGCAATCAATGCGCAAGTGCGTAGGTCGCTTTTTTTGTAAAGATGGCCGCCTTCAATTCTACGTGCCTGATGAAAATGACATTTCCTATCTCCTTTATCGATGTCTGTGATCCTGACACATCAAAACAACACTCGTGACATGACAGTTTTGCCGGTTATAAAATGCCGGCGCTGATCATGCGCAAAAAATTTTGGACCCCAAAAATTGACGTGCCTTCGCTTCTGTAAAAGTATTCTGTGGCATAACGTTATTTTCACGTCATCAAATGACGTAACGCACACCATAATGACGGCATGATGTTGCATGGGCTGTTTTCGGACACATTCCTAATAAATTTCAAATATGTCAACATAGCATCTTCTATTGTAATTTATAAGCTTAAGTACAAGCTTGTTGTAAACGTCTCGTATGCCAGTTGTTTGTTCTGGTGCTAAATAATAAATTTCGTAGTGAAACGCATGAACGTAAATAGTATGTAGAATTATAATTACAATCAATAATATATAATATTATTGGAATATATACCTATGTTGGAATTTTTATAAAATTGGTAATTTGATTTTTTGAAAGACAAAGCTACAAAATTTCATGGAAAAATCATGTAATGATTTCTGTCAAATTTCAAATAATTTACTTTTTATTTGAATTATAAAGAGAAATATTGTGTGAATAGTTTATTTTAAAAATTTTGGATTGGAGTACGGCCTCCGAGCTAAATTCGGATCAAATGTTGTTTGTATCTCGAAATATTTTAAAATTTTGACAAGCCTGGAGCGAGTCGTAGAGTTGCTGTTGGCAAACAATTTTTATTTTTTACACACAAAAATCGTTAAAAGAAATAAAGGAACTGAAATTAAAGGTTTATGGTAAGATTTTAGAGTAGTTGTTCTGCAAATATCATTCACTATTGTTATGTGAGCCATTTCATTATTCAGTCATGCTCTAACCCTCCAAGTCCCTCTCTGTCTTAATTGGCCTTTGAGGCTCAACTTGTCCGATTATTATACATAATTAAACCCCTTAAGACCAAACCTATGGGACGACTATGGCGGAGGTGCTTTCGATGACTATTCGAGAAAGGACGGGATAATGATTCTAGTCTGTTGGTGAGAATATGTATACTTTCTAGAACATTCGCCATTTTTTTAAATTTGTATATAAATATTGGTGGAGGAGCCAGCAGAGTCAGTTATTATATGGACAGTGAAGATAAATAGTAATCAGTGATATACCTATAAACAGCTGACAATAAAGTATTGGACTGTGAATATAAATAGTGAACGATTCAGACATTTGAAATATACATAAATTAGAAATAGTAGCGTTATAAAATAAATAAGTGTTTAAATAAATTATTAATAAATAAACTGTTGTTTTAAAATAAATAAACATCACACTATTATTAAATTAATTGCAGCCTTGTCCACCCTACATTTAAAAGCAGATGAGATGGTTTCTTACAAACATTAAAAACAACCGAGAGCAAAAAAATTCGGAAGGGCTTTACTAAAAGAACATACATTTTTGAAAAAAATGTTTGCTACAGGAATTTTTTAGTATAAAGTACATAGTTACAAATCATTTTAAAGAAAACAAGGGCATTTTGAAGTTGAGAACAAATTTGTAAAGCATGCACGATAAGATAAAAATTTTCAGTAGCAAAGTGGAAATTAAATCAAAGAAATAAATGGATAGATGCACAATAAGAAGAAAAATTACCTTTATTTTTGTAATAATAACAGTAATACTGGAAATAGTAGACATCAGAAACTTGAAAGGTTTTAAATAAACAATAAATTGTTATTTTACGATGTTCTTCAACATCCCTTTATTCTTCAATGTTCATTCAGCAAGGACTAGATTCGAAAAATAAAATTTGGAAGTCGAATTTAGACTTGGAGAAGTTGGTCAAACGATATAAGTATACAATAAAGATCTATAACGATTTATAATTATGTTTTGACGTTTGACCACCTCCTAAAATAAATTCAATGTGGACAAATAGCTTGAAACTTCGAGAAAAATCGAATATCGAGTTGGAAAAATGGTCAAACGACATAAGTGGACAATAAAGATTTATAACGATTTAGAATTATCTTTTGACGTTTCACCACCCCTAAAATAATTTTAATGTGCCTAAGTAGTGTAAATATTCAAAAAATTAAATTTGGAAATCGAATTTAGATATAAAAAAAAATTTTAATGTACGAGTGAATTTTAACCCCAAAAGCTGAGCTTGTGCGGGGAAAGGGACGGCTATTACTATTATTTGCCGTGGCGCTCCGGGGCGACTTAAAGATGATTGATGGTGCCATTTGACTTACAGGTTAGGAAAATCCGGAAAAC